TCTTGTGTTGCATTCATGTGGGAGGATTGAAGGTCTGTGAGCACCTGAATTTGTGCCTTCTGTGTGGGGTAAGGGTTGGGAGTAATTGTTGCACGTTCCCAGAAACGGCGTGTGCCCAAAGCCGGTCCTCAGGCTGGCTGCTTCAGAAGTGAGGAGCTTGTGGCAGTCCTGTGCAGAGGTCCTTGTGTTTCATCACCCAGCAGGGCTCTGAGGAGGTTTTTCGTCCTTTTGTCTTGGCTCTATTTAGACAGTTACTGATCTGACAGGAAGTCTTGTATATGCATTGAAAGACCCTCATGAGGTCTCCCTGGAGCCTTCTCTTCTGCTGGCTCGACAACCCCCTCCCTCCCAATTTCCCTTCATGGGGAGGGTTTTCTATCCTCTGGTGAATTTGGTAGGATTCCTCTGGGCCTGCTCCAACAGTTTCATGTCTTCCTTGTCCTGGGGACCCCAGAGCTGGATGTAGTTAGTATTCCAGGTGGCGTCACAGGAGAGTGGAGTAGAGTGGGTCCTGTACTGAGCTCTCTGGTTAGGAGGAACACTGTGCAGCATGTTTCTGGCTCTCGGTTTCATTCCTTTGATTATGGGGAACATTCAGAGTTTTTTCATCCTGGCGCCTCTGCGCAAGGGCACAGCTGTGCAGACTCCTTTCCTTTTCTTCTCTTCTGTTGTCTCTGCAGCTAACACTGACACTCACCTGCAGTTCCAGTTGTAGGAAGCTTTGAGTTTTTTCTCTGCCAGGGTTTGGGGAAAGGTTTCTGACTATGGGTTGGCCTTTGCTGCAGACCAAAGCTCTGGGCAGCTCAGCTCTCCCAGTGTTCCCTTGAGCATTGTTTCCCAGCTGTCCACAGGCTTCAGCAAAGCAAGCTGATGTTTTGGCAGCAGTGTGTGTCCTGTGCCTGCTTCCTGTGTGGTCACGCCCCTTCCTGGTGTTTGGTTTCTTCCTGAGATAGTGAGGTGGTGTGTGTGGCACAAGGAGGTGAGAGAGTGGCAGGGGTCTGTGCTTAGTCCTGCTCCACCTCATGTGTTGCCCTTATGTGAGTGTTTTTTGCATACGAGAAGCCGGTGCAGCATTGTGCCCTAGCTGCGAGGGGGAGACCTGCACAGCTCAGTAGTGACTGTATCTGATTTGGCCCTAGTTTGCTTTGTAGGCCCCAGAAGGGGAGGCTGGCCAACACCAGTGAGCTTTGTTGCGGCCAGGGTTGGCTGGGAGGTGTAGCAGTGACCAAGGGACACCCCTTTGTGCAGTGGACAGCCAGAGCACCACCTGTGGCTGCGCCGGTGCCCTGGTTTGCTGTCTCTGTTCTTGCTGTTTTTGAGTGTTCCTCTTGTTGATTTCCCACAGCTTGTGACTGCATCTGGACAGACTGGATTGATGTGAGTTACCCAGACAGTTCTGACAGAAACAGTGGTGACTACGAAACCTTTGAGAATATTAAGAAGAGCAACTCCTCCTGGCTCTGTGACAGAATTGAGAATATTTCGTGCAGAGCAACAAAATTCCCTGACATTCCCATTGCAGAGTTAGGGCAGAAGGTGGAATGCAGTGTAAACACAGGGCTCATCTGTAACAACAGAGATCAGCAGATAGGAGGCATAATACCAATGCCGGTCTGCCTCAACTACGAGATCAGTGTCTGCTGTGTCCCCAACAGACCAGAGTGTATTCCCACACCCAGCAGCACCACCACCACCACAACCACAACTTCTACCAGCATCTCCACCACCACCACAGTGCCCCCTGAGACCACCCTGGAGACAACAGTGGGCACAGCACCACCCACCACAACCTCTGAAAGCACATCCACGCCCACGCCAACCTACTCCACATCACCTTCAGGTATGTGTCTGCTCCGTGCTCTCTTGTGTTGCATTCATGTGGGAGGACTGAAGGTCTGTGAGCACCTGAATTTGTGCCTTCTGTGTGGGGTAAGGGTTGGGAGTAATTGTTGCACGTTCCCAGAAACGGCGTGTGCCCGAAGCCGGCCCTCAGGCTGGCTGCTTCAGGAGTGAGGAGCTTGTGGCAGTCCTGTGCAGAGGTCCTTGTGTTTCATGACCCAGCAGGGCTCTGAGGAGGTTTTTTCATCCTGGTGCCTCAGCCCAGGTTAGACATACTGATCTGGCAGGAAGTCTTGTTTTGCTGCTGTTGGATGTCATCCTCCAGCTGGAGAGAAGGATGTCAGTGAAAACCATGGTGTGCAATGGGAGTGTGGCTTGGTTTTGTGACGCTGTCTTCTCTGTTCCTGCTGTTTCTAACAGCCCCACCATCACCCACTACGACCACAGTGTCCTCTCCACCTGAATCAACCACGACTGTCTCGCCAACACCAACAAAGACTCCCAGCAGCCCCAGCACCATGCCTCCTGGTGGCCA